ATCCGTATGCTCTATGTGACAAAATGTCAATGAAAAAAATAAAAGAAAAAAAAGGAAAAAAAAAAGAAAAAATAAAGAGAGTAAGAACCCAGCTGGCTCACACTGCAGGCAATGGAAACTTCATTCTGAATTTTAATAGTGGGCAACTCACTTATTCATGGTATGTAGCAGGGGCAGAACATTTTTGGGATCCTGGAAAGCTATCAGCTATTTATATATGAGAGTCCCGTGTCACAAGCCCATTTCAAATCATCTCCCTTCAGGCAAAAAGGACACCATAGACAAAAATTCCAGGAAAACTTGGCTGGTGAGCATGAACCTCTCTGGGGAACGGGTGCAGTAGGGAGTCAGAAGAAGACCTCATGCGTGAAAATATGACTGAGCTCAACCCATGGCTGCTCTGAAGAGGGAGAACTCCCAGGAACCAAAAGCAAAAGATGAGTTCAAGGATGCAAAGAACTGCAAACCTGGAAGAAGCCAGAGAAAGAGAGAGGAGGAGATGCTTTCCCAGGGATGCCAACAAATAGTAAGTACACACATTTGCTCAGCAAGTTGTACCCACAATGACGAGCCCTCCTTATCATCAAACCACAGTGCAGACCCTGGGCAAGCCAAACTCCAGACCCTTCACCTCCTGTCACACATCAGAATTGTCCCCAAGGAAACCCCTGACTTCCAAAAATATGGGAGAAACTTTGTCCTCAAAAAGCACTCTAGGACCTCTGAGGCAGTACTTCAGGAGGAACACCCCTGTGGCACAGGCAGGCAAATTATGCTCCTTTTATAACATTTAGGTGGTGGACGTTACTTACGCTTTCAGGTAATTTTTCTGAGAAACTGCTAAGCACGTTTTCAAATGTCTAGGCAGACAGATATCTATTATCTCACAAGGTTTGCTCTGCTATCTCACTCCTTGCTCAATTCTGAACAAACATCCCTGCACGTGTAATGTTTAAAACCAGAATAAAAGATAGACTGCAAACATTTACATTTGACTGAATAGGCCCACTGATTAATAACTCGTACAGCTACTTATAGAAAATCCAGACTGTATCTCTAATTTCATGGCTGCCTATGGATACTTTGCCCAACACTGTTCTGCATTTCATAACTAAGCTGTTGTGTTTTAAAATACTTCAGTTTCCCCCAAAACTTTCAGTTCTTGTAGTTATCTTTCTGATTTTACTAATGAATTATTTTATACATATTCTGTACTTTACTAGTGTATTCTATACCATTATTTGTAGATTTTGGTACTTGCACAAAAATCACACCGCATTGTTTCTACTTATTTTTAACTTCTTCAATTATGGCATAATCTATTAAAATTGTCTTGTAGGCAAAAAGGTTCTGAAAAGTGCTATAGTCAAAAAACAGCACTAGAAACAGTAAATTCTTGGTCCTGCACATGGCTTGTGGCTTGGTAGTAGAGTTGATAAAATTTTTGGCTGACTATTTTATGATTATGTTTGCAAATTTGTTATCTAAATCTCCCATTCTCCACTTTCTAAATTTTAGAATCATTAATAATGCAGGATACAAGCTAAAGTCAATGTAGGACTAAAATCAATGAAGTCCAATAGCTGTTGGAACCCACACAGATTGTGAAAAGTGGAAGGTATAAAATCAGAGGAGATTTAAAAAAAAAAATCCACTTTATCCTCTCTACTGCTCTCTTTGTTTTCAGAAAATGTCACTCCTATTCTTGTATGTTTTAACACTGCACACATTAGTGGCAATGGCAGTGATTCAATCATAGAATCATAGAATTGTCTAGGTTGGAAGGGACCTTTAAGATCATCTAGTCCAACCCTCAACGTAACTCTGTCAAAAACCATCACTAAGCCATGTCTCTAAGCATTATGTCAACCTGTCTTTTAAATACCTCCAGAGATGGTGCCTCAAACACTTCCCTGGGCAGCCCATTCCAAGCCTTAATAACCCTTTCAGAGTAAAAAATTTTCCTAATATCCATCCTAAACTTCCCCTGATGCAGCTTGAGGCCATTTCCTCTTGTCCTATTGCCTGTGACTTGGGAGAAGAGACCAACCCCCACCTCTCTACACCCTCCTCTCAGGTAGTTGTAGAGAGCGAGAAGGTCTTCCCTCAGCCTTCTCCAGGCTGAACACCCACAGCTCCCTCAGCCCCTCCTCACAAGACTTATTTTCCAGACCCCTCACCAGCTCCGTTGCCCTTCTCTGGACACGATCCAGCCCCTCAAAATCTTAACATCTCTTCAGCCACTGGGAATCCCGGGTTCGTGCAGCATCGGCCAGACCTATGATGGATTCTCCAGCAGCATGTTGTGCAGACCGTGTCTGTAGAGAGGCTCTTCCTGCCTCCCGTACCGTGGAGCCTTTTATTTTGTGTGGCAAAAAAAGTCACACATCTTCTCCCAACAGGCTGGTTTGATATCTCTGTCACAACACCTGCCAGTGCTCAGGGAACTCCTCCAGCCTCTGGTCCAGCGGCTACTCCAACCAACGTACGGGCTTCTCAAGCCTTTTGTACAACACTCAGTGGCTTGCCATATCTCCTCAAGTACAACATCTTCTACAAGACCCCCAACACACCCTGCCCAGAGAGTAGGCTGCCAATGGGAAGAGAGAATAAATCAATATTTTTTTTTGTTCTGCTCATATGTGCAGCTTTTGCCTTCACTATTTATTAGTCTGTCATTACCCAAACTCAGGAGCCTTCTCACCTTCCTTCTGTTTTCTCTCCATCAGGCAAGAAAGGGTAGCCAGTGCCTGTCTGGGTCTTTGGACCCTACCAAGCTGGGGTCAACCCACACTGTAGCAGGAGTCGAATGTGTGGCCAGAACCATGGTCATTTGGTAACTCATTTTACAACTTTCTCTTTTAAACAATGGTGAAAAAAAAAAAAAAAAGAAGTAAGAAATAAGAATAGCAAAAAGTTTGCAAGGCAAGACCAGTATAAAGAAAGTCCTGACAACTGGGTATGTGCTGTCTGGAAAGGCAGACTGAATAGAAACCCAAATGCCTGTATCTAACTGTCAATGCCATTGGCTTATCTCTATAAAAGCAGCTGAAAAATTATAAAAAATGAAAGCAGCAACAGGGAAAATATGCAAAATACTGGAGAGAACCATACGATTGGTGAAGTGATGGGACAAGCCACTGTGACAAGTTGTTAAATCACCTTCATAGAGAAAGATATTCATGGAATCCATACATTAACTGATGGGATATGATTAACAGTAATGAAATCAACCCTGACGTGAGATAGGGCTACAGACAAGAACTGCTAGAGGACTATTTCTTCTATTGCTTTGAAAACTCCCCAAGATTGATATCATTTGGTATAACATAACGGATTCCCTGCTTTCCTTTTTTCCTAACAGTATTATTATTTGATGTTGATAAATTACACAGTTTCATAGTGACATGGGCAGAAACTGAACAGTGAACATCGTTTTTAATGTCGGCATGCTCCACAGTATTTTCTAAGAAGCTTGAAAAACCATGAAGCTCCATTTTATAGCCATGTGTTACTGTTACATGACCGTGTGAGTAGGAGACATGTAAGCTCAAACCTCTGCACCCTCCGTGGACAGGCCACGGTGCTCCCAGGAGATGGTGAAGATCTCTCCCTGTGCGAGGAGCAGACGTTTCGCCTTTGCTGGTGCTGCAGCCCTACTGCTTCTAACTCTCCACCCCGCACAGAGCTTCATTGCTGGACTACAGGTCTTCTTGCCACACCATTTTCACAGGGAAAGAAGCATTCCCTGTTTCTAGGGTTTCCTACACCGTATTCCACCATGTGCTCCCTCTGTGGCGGATTCCAGCTCCTTTACTCCTACATGGTAGTTTTTTATTCCACGAAAAGGCCCAATGACAGAAGAGATGCCATTCAGAGGGTCCTGGAGAGGCTTGGTGGGCTTGTGCAAACTGCATGAAGTTCAAACAGGCCAAGCGCAGGGTCCTGCACCAGGCACACATCCAGGTTGGGTGGAGAATGGCTGGAGAGCAGCCCTGAGGAGAAGGACTTGGGGGTGTTGGTGGATGAGAAGCTCAACATGAGTTGGCAATGCGCACTGGCAGCCCAGAAAGCCAACCCCATCCTGGGCTGCATCAAAAGCAGCATGGCCAACAGGTCACGGGAGGTGATTCTACCCCTCTACTCTGCACTCGTGAGACCCCACCTGGAGTATTGTGTCCAGCTGTGGCGTCTTCAACACAGGAAGGACATGGACCTGTTGGAACAGGTCCAGCAGAGGGACATTAAGATGATCAGAGGGATGGAGCACCTCCCCTGTGAGGACAGACTGAGAGAAGCTGGGCTTGTTCAGCCTGGAGAAGAGAAGGTTCCGGGGAGACCTTATAGCGGCCTACCAATATCTAAAGGGAGCCTACGGGAGTAGATGGGGAGGGACTCTTTGTCAGGAAGTGCAGTGACAGGACAAGGGGTAATGGTTTTAAATTGGAAGAGGGGAGATTTAGATTAGATACCAGAAAGAAATTCTTTGCTGTGAGGGTGGTGAGGCACTGGAACAGGTTGCCCAGAGAAGCTGTGGCTGCCCCATCCCTGGAGGGGTTCAAGGCCAGGCTGGATGGGGCTTGGAGCAACCTGGTCTGGTGGGAGGTGTCCCTGCCAAGGGCAGGGGGGGCTGGAACTCGCAGATCTTTAAGGTCCCTTCCAACTCTAACCATTCTATGATTCTATAATGGTGGTGTTTTTGCAGCGAAGAGCAGCGTCCCAGCTCTGAGGAGAAATCTCACGCTCGGGCCTATTCCAGCCGTTCCCTCCCCACAGTGGCGGCCGGGACCTCTCCCGCCGCCTCCCGCCGGGCTCGTTGCTTTCACCCCCGCCACCAGAGCTACGTCCAACCCTCCCAGCTCCCGCTGCCCAAGGCTACCGGCCGGTACCGTGGCCCCTCTGCCCCCCGCGCTCTCAGGCACCCCCTTCCCGCTAAACTACAACTCCCGGCGTCCCCCGCGCCCGCCGTAAAGCGCGTGCCGTAAGGCGCCCCGGCGGAGGGCGGCCGGCCAGACGGCGGTGCCGCCATTATGTACCACAGCAGCACGCAAAGGCGGCACTGGACCTTCCGCAGCGAGGAGGATCTGGCACGTTGCCGGGCCGAGGCCAACCGCAAATTCCGCAGCAAAGCGGTGACGAATGGCAAGGTGAGGGGCCGGAGGGGCAAGGGCTGTGAGGAAGGGGGCGGCGGGGAGGGGGTCAGGGAGCGTTGCGGCCTCCTCCCGGCCGGCGCTGCCTTGCGCCTCTGAGGGAGGGAGCTGGGTTGAGGGGGGGAAAAAGGGATCTCAGTTCCTCCGTCAGGCTCAACTTTGCTTTCCCTCAAGGTCCAGCAGCATGACTCTATATTTCTGGAGCCGCACGAGGAGCTGGCGATATGCAAGTACTATGAAAAGCGTCTGCTGGACTTCTGCGCTGTCTTCAAGCCCGCCATGCCGAGATCCGTGGTGGTAAGCAGCAGTGCCTGCTCCTCCTTCTGGCTTTGACAAGTGTCAAGCTATAGGGCAAGAGGAAACGGCCTGGAGTTGCACCAGGGCAGGTTTAGATTGGATATTTGGAAAAACTTCTGCACTGACAGGGTTGTCAGACATTGCAAGAGGCTGCCCAGGGAAGTGGTGGAATCGCCATGCCTGGAGGCATTTAAAGGGCAGGTAGACAAGGTGCTGAGGGACACAGTTTAGGAATAACTTGGCATTGTTAGACTGATGGTTGTACTTAATGATCTTAAGGGTCTTTTCCAACCAGAACAATTCTATGATGCACTTATGGCCCTGCTGACTAACGGAGCAGCAGGCTTTGGCCTCTCCATGCCTCTTGTTCCCTTCCTTGCTACTTTCTTGCCTTGTTCTTGAGAGCATGGATATCTTTCAGATTTTCTTTTATCTTCCAGTGGTTACTGTCTTAGTGTCAGACTGTTTTTTATCTTTTTCTGTTTTCTGGGCAGTGCAGCCATATCAAAACCAGAGTTACTTCTCAACTTCATGCTGTCTCAACTTCATGGCTGTTAACATTTGCAGATGTTGGCTTTTAACTGTTTTCTTTACTCTTCCTTAAGCAAAAGGTAGAAACAAACCTAAAGATCTATGGCCTGATGGTACAATAAAATGATGGTCACTGGAGCTAAAGGAGGCAGTCCGAAAGTTGGCCTGTCTGGTCCAGTTATTTCTCAGGCATTGGTGCATGTCTCATCACAAAGCAAGATTGTTCAACCACCTGTACTGGCAGTAATCTAACCTAAAAAGGAAACAAACAAAAAATAATCTTTGAACTGATTTATCTTGAAGAGTGTGTTTCTAGAAGAGAAGCAGCTGATGCAGGGAATAGAACTGTGTTTTATTTGTCACCCAGCCATGAAGGTCTAAAATGTCCGTCCTCCCTTTTTCTGGCAGATGTGGTGATAACAAAGATGAAGAGTGCCTTGTCTGAAGATGTGTTTGAAACATAGCAGTAGGCTGCAGTTTTATGCTCTGTGGAGCCAGATATTCTGTTTTGGAAGTGGCCTCTGTAGAGTGTCTGGGCTGCGTCAGACTCTCCAAGTAATGTTCTTGGAAAACATCTGCTGATGGTGTTCAGACCAGCTTGGGAATTTGGCACTGGCAGACCGCAGTACTTCTAGGTACACAGAGAAGCATAAATATTGGACATGTTGGGCAAATGACTGATGTAAGAAGTCAGATGCCTTGGCTGGGATTGCTCACAACTTTCAGGATATTTTTTTCAGTCTTTGTTTTTTAAAATTTAATTTAAATATCAGATTTTTCTCTGGAGGATATTTTTGGCCACTTCTTGAGCATTATCTTCCTAAATATATGTCTAAAAATGGAGGAAAAGATAGCCAAACTGCCACAGGGCTTTTGCAGGCATAAATATGTTAGACTTTGAAATATTTAATGTCATGCCATTGCGTGCATCTTAGTGCCTTAGAGTGTCCTTGTATGTCTACAGTATATATTCAAACTTTCCTGTTCCATTTTGTGGTATTATTTTTTCTTAATCCAGTTTTCCTTGTATATTTATTTTTCTCTCTTTTTTTTTTTTTTTTAATTTAGGGAACAGCTTGCATGTATTTCAAGCGTTTTTATCTCAATAACTCTGTGATGGAGTATCATCCTCGGATAATAATGTGAGTTATCAATGCTTCTTGAGTAATTCTATCAAGCGGAACATTGAAGGTATAATCTTTGTATCTGTAAAGAGTTGAAAAAATAAGAAAGGACATCTGAGATCTTAAATATGAGTTAAAAAAAAGTATGAGTCGCTTTTGGAAAGGTTTGCTGTGTTTAGAATACGGTGTTTTGAAGATACAAATTTTTTGATCAAAACTGTTGATAATAAGGTGGATGTTCCATATGTCATTTGTTTGCTTTTTTTCCCCCCTCTCCTCAAGGCTCACCTGTGTGTTTTTAGCCTGTAAAGTAGATGAATTTAACGTCTCCAGTGTACAATTTGTTAGTAACCTTCGAGAAAGCCCTGTTGGACAGGAGAAAGCCCTTGAACAAATACTGGAATACGAACTACTGCTTATTCAGCAACTGAACTTCCATCTTATCGTCCACAATCCATACAGGCCGTTTGAGGGATTTCTAATCGATTTGAAGGTAGTATTGTTTTATATGCTACATACGCCATATACTAATGTAATACAAATCTGTCATAGGTTGTGTTAGAAAACTTCATTTCCTTTTGTGCCTGTGATCTTAAAATATCTGGCTGACCTAGAGAATTGTCTGAAAGGGAGTTGGTTTACTTGTGGTCTTTAGGCACTTGAGATTATTTTTGGAATAAGAAGTTGACCTGCTACTTTTTAGCTTCACGAAATAACTGATGAATTGTGTGTTCTGACATTATGAAGCAGAACACGAGGAACAACTACTTACTTTCCTAAATACTTACTTTTTAGACTCGCTATCCAATGCTGGAGAATCCTGAAGTTTTAAGGAAAACGGCTGATGACTTTCTCAACCGAGTGGCTCTGACAGATGCGTATCTGCTCTTTACTCCCTCACAGATTGCTCTCACTGCCATATTATCTAGTGGTTCAAGAGCAGGAATTAATATGGAAAGGTAGTCTTGTCTTGTCTTTTCCGTTATAGGTATGATTTAAACAGTTTATTTGCTTCTGGTATAAAATTGTTTTGTTTAGACATTCTTAACTAGTAGAAGTGAGTATTTACTCATTGTTTACACTCTGGTATGTTCTTTTTGTCTCAGAACTGAACTAGTACTTTTTTAAACATGTTTCCATGTTCAAAAAGTAAGTGATAAATGAAGTTATTATATTCCCTTGGAAGAAAGAAAAAAAAAATGTCAAACTGATTACTTTTTCCTAATTAGAAAAGCATAGGATTTTCAGACTCCTCTTGAAGATTAGAGTGAAGAAAATGGAAATACAGTAGAAACAGAGTATGAAACACCTAAAGAGTCACTTAAAAAAAAAAAACAAACAACAACAAACAAAGAAACCCCCCAAAAAACCCCCCAAACTAAAGATGTGCTAGTATTGCAGTAGAGACCCAGAGATAAAGCCTACCCAATTCAGTGTGACGGTGGGAGTATCCTCTACAGGGTTCACTGTCCTCTCAGAGTAGTGTTAAAGCATTCAGGTGCTTATCATAACATGAAACTTTTTGATCTCATTCCTGAATTTAAATTCTGTACTACTTGTGCCAAAATTCAGAAAAGCATGCTTACAAAAAGAACTAGAATAATTTGTAGATAGCTCGTGAATCATGGTATGCGAATTTATCTTTCCATACTCATGAATAACTCAAGTCTTTGTCACCTGTTTGCACCACACAGTTGCTGTAACCTTGTAATTTACTGTTTTATGTGAGTTTGAGCTGCTGGACACAAGAGAAGCTAATGCTGCAGCTCGGGTCTTGTGGACCTGACTCAACAGCATGTGGGATTTGCTTTCAGCTGCCAAAAGCAGCAGTCCCATCTTGCAGGCTTTGCTGTCTGTTGGTCTGTCTGAAGGCTATTCTTCTGTAGTAGTTGCTTTTCCAGCAGTCATACTGTGCAATAGTCTCATGTTAGTGTGGCACTTCATAGATTCTGAAACTTAAGTTGGCTTAGCTCAGCAAGGCTCACTTACAAATGTTTAATTCTGCAATGTTGGAACTTCTTTTTTTTAACATGACCAGGAAAAACTTCTGCTACGTTTGTACAGAAGAAGGATGTTGCAAATGACAGATTTGGATTTTTATCACTTTATAGCCATTATGTAACCAAAGTGTTCTTACTAATTCTAATCATAAAGCTCTAGCAGATGTAAATCATAAATAATGTTAGTTTTACTAACTCATGGTAGCTGCCACAAATAATTGTGACACTTCATTTTAAGAACTTACTCTTCTATGTCTCTCTGCAGTTATTTATCAGAAAGTCTGATGCTGAAAGACGACAGACTGTCTTTGGCCAAGCTACTAGATGGCATGAAATGTAAGTAAACATTGGAAAAATATGATAAACAGTGTTTCTAAAGGAAGAAAAAATGGCTTTTTCCGAACAACAAAAGGTTTAAGCAGAAAGGTGCACTTCAAGGGATTTTTTTCAATGCAGAGCTGGCATAAGACGTGGGCAGTAGTGTGAACTACCCAACATGTGAGTGGATACAGGGGAGAGAACACCGAGACTTACCTGTGATATAAACAGATGAGGTTAAAAGGCAAAGAGCCTGATGCTTCTCAGAACAATAGTGTTACAGTCAGTTAAGTGCATGCAACTGACTGAAAAGTAAGAGATCTGCTTTGGGAACTAGATGATGGCTGTTGTAAGTCAGGGTGAAATCCCTCTTTTCCAGCACTGTTACTTAAAAATTGCAGCTTCAGGCAAAAACCTGCATGTAGCTACTTCTGCCACCAGAGGGTACCTTATCTGAGCGAAGTGATTCTTGTTAAGTGATGCACCAGGATTTATACATCACTTCTGTTTTGCAGCTATGCAGGTGTTTCAAAAGTTGTTTAGGTTTGTTAGTGTGAGAAAATACATATATATACATATATACACAAACACACACACGCAGGTATATATATAAAAATACCAAGAATGCTAGCATGGTTTAGCTAATATAATGGGAAATGTATTACATTGATTACTAGCTTTATTTTAATTAAATGAAAAGGCTGGGATACAGAATTTCCAGTAACTAATGTGTTATTTAATACTTTAAGCTAATGCATGCATTTAAAATGGGGGAATCATAGAATCATAGAATTGCCCAGGCTGGAAGGGACCTCCAAGGGTCATCTAGTCCGACCTCCCTGCAGTCAGCAGGGACACCCCCAACTAGACCAGGTTGCCCAGGGCCTCGTCGAGCCTCTCCTTGAATATCTCCAGGGATGGGGCCTCAACCACCTCCCTGGGCAACCTGTTCCAGTGCTCCACCACCCTCACAGTAAAGAACCCCCTTCTAATCTCCAGTCTAAATCTGTTCCCCTCCAGCTTGAAGCCATTTCCCCTCGTCCTGTCACTACAGGCCTTTGTAAACAGGAATGATAGCACTGGAAATCCAGTCCTTTGACTACACTGACTTAAGTAGTAAATGTACCATAAAAGCCACTCAGGGTCTACAAATAAGTTTTATAAATTCAATTTAAATTTAGAGTTACTCTTCCTTTTCTCTTCCTGCTAACAAATCCTGTCTTCAGGTTTCCATTGCTGAGATGCAAAGGAAATGCTGGGATCCCTTACTCTTCACTTGCATAATTCTGGAAGGCAGCTTTAGCCCAAAGGCAGCTTTTCTGTAAACAAATGATGGCTGGAAGGAAATTTTGAAGCATCTGGAAGTTACTAGTTTTACAGAGAACTGGTGGTAGAGGGAAAGGTCTTGTTTCTTGTGGGGTAGCTGTATATTTAGTTTGCATTCTTAACAAGATTGAAACCAATCTTTTCTTTTTTTTTAAAACTGAGGTAAAATGTATGCAAAAAATCCCTGTGTATTTTGCAGCTTGTTGGCAGAATAATGTGACCTTGAGGAAATCCAGACCCAATTATAATAATGACTTGTTTAAGGGTAGTTCTTTGTGCTCACCTACTGCTGTACCTTGATGGATGACATTTAGAATTAATCCTTGAGTGTAAGATGGTAGTTCAGTCTTACACCTCTGATCTTCGATCCTCTCCAGCTTGAGGGCTATGTGGGGTGGGAGCTTTTGCAAGCAAGCAGTTTGGGAGTTTGAATGTCCAATGCTTGCTTTGAAAACACGAGGATTTTACACAGTTGGCTTTTTCTCAACTGTTTGCAATATGTTGCATGTTGCCTTGTAGCATCCTTGGAGTCTATTAAAAAACTAGATACGATGCTTTCAAAACCTTACAGAGGTGTGGACTTTAAAACTTCCTACATTCTGTTTTTTCTCTTTCTACTATTCTGATTTTTTTTGTTTGGTGTAGGTTTGTTTTTTTTCTTTAGTACAAGCTGCTTGAAAATGTGTAACTGTGGAAGGGGGGGCTAAACTGTTGGCTCAAGCCTAAGTATGAGGGATAAGCAGTAACAGTAGCTGTACTGCTGATTGGTAAGCTTGTGTAGTTCACAAGATAGAGCAGAGATTATTTAATTTCCTTGGAGCTGTGTTGTTGCCACTGTAGGCATGAAGAACCTTATAAAAAAATACGAGCTGCCAAGACCTGAAGAGGTTGCTGCACTAAAACAGAAATTAGAGAAGTGTCACACCTCGGAGCTTTCGCATAATACGAACCCGTGAGTAGATACTTACTTATTCTTTGAGGTGTTAATCTTCTGCCTTCTTCTATTGCTATAGAAATATTAACTTTCTCTGATCTGTGTGAGTGATCAGAAATGCAAACATCTAAATGTGCACCCAAGGATGTCTGTTCACATGCTCACTCCTTGAGTGTCTGCTGGAAGCTGAGAACCAAGACTCAACATCAGTGCTTTCAGTAATACGTAAATATGTTCATTTGCACTGATCTGCACAGAAAGCTCTAACGCTGATTATTTTGTAACACACAACTGGAATCCTGGGTGGCTTCTAAGGCCACTTGATGTCATATGTAATGAGAATCAGGGGCTTTAAAATCACGTGATTAACACAAGAATCAATGTACAGGGTTAATGTTTTCTTAAAATGTGTGGATGGCAAAAGGACTGCCTGTTTTTTCTTTTCTGCCCTTTTCACCCACTGCGAACTTCCAGCAAGCAGCTAGCTGAGGCTTCCGTAGTTTATGTGGCAAATATGTCTGTAATCTAATCTCGTGGCCAAGTAAGGAGACTTTGACTTATAAAAATACCTAACCATTTCACTTTTTTCCTGGATGGGAATTAGGAGGAAGAGGAAAGGTTACGAAGATGATGAATACGTCGGAAAGAAATCTAAAATGGATGAGGTCAGTAAGTGTATTACACAAGTAGTTGTTTTTCTACTCTTAACTTTCAAGACAAAAGTGACATAGCTGCTGAGACAAACTTCTGCATCTCTTAGTACTCTTTTATGTGTTCCTCAGACTGAATCTTTTTCAACTCTTTTTTTTTAAAAATTAGCCAGAGTTTATACGAGCCTGAGTTTGGGAATGTTCTTAAATACTCTGGTCTTTTGTGGTGAGGGGGAAGAACACAAAGACCATCCTCCCAGCTGTTTCCTGTGCTTTGAAACTCTTTTGACAAGATGTAGAACAGCATAAATCTTGGTACTTAATTCCAGCATGTGAAACTCTGTGATGCCAGTGAGGGGAAACATCTAAATCTCAGTTTCACAGCTATTTTGATGAAAGGAGGTTTTGGAAGGCCAGGAATAGGGGAGCTGGGAATAGAAGAGTAGGGGAACAGGTTGAGCCCCCATGTAAATTGGAGGACCCCCTCCCCTCTTGTCCCCAAGCAATAGGAGGAGATCTGAGAGAAGAGGGGGAATGGAAACTGGTCCCTGCTCGGGGAAGCAGGTGGGTCCCCTCCCAGCCCCCCAGTTCCCCCTGCAGAACAGGTATGGAGTCCTGCAGGAGGAACTGGCCGTTGGAGAGGAGGATGGCACACCAGGACTAGAGCAGTCAGACAGTACACATCACTATAGACACAACATCACTACTAGCACCAAAGGAAAAGCAGAAGGGTCATAGTTGTGGGTGACTCTCTGCTGAGGGGGACAGAGGGACCAATATGCTGCCCTGACCCGCTACACAGGGAAGTTTGTTGCCTCCCTGGGGCACGGGTCAGGGATGTGATGGACAAACTCCCAGACCTAATAAACCCCTCTGATTATTACCCCCTGTTAGTATTTCAGGTGGGTAGTGATGGAATGGGTAGGAGAAGGCCAAAATCAATTAAAAGAGACTTCAGAGCCTTGGGACGGCTGCTCAAGGGAACAGGAAGGCAGGTTGTGTTCTCATCTATCCCTCCAGTGGGATGATTTCCTTATTCCCAATAAGGAAATTGACAGGAAGAGGCAGCAGATAACTTGTGGCTCTGTGACTGGTGTTATCGGCGGTGCTATGGGTTTTTTGAGCACAAGGTGGCTACACCAGACACCTGGCCTGCCAGTGCCAGACAGGATACAGCTGTCCCAGAGGGGGAAAAGAATTTTGGGGCAGGAGTTAGCAGGGCTCATCGACAGGGCTTTAAACTAGATATGAAGGGGGAAGGGGGCACTAGAGATGAGCCTAAGGATAGCCTCCAGCCTGCCATTTCACTTGAGGCGAGATATGGTGATAATATCTCAGATGAGACTGGACATTAGGAAACAATTCTTCACAGAGAGAGTGGTCGGGCATTGGAACAGGCTGCCCAGGGAGGTGGTTGAGTCACCATCCCTGGCTGTGTTTAAGAACCGTTTAGATGTGATGTTGGGGGATAGGGTGTAGGGGAGAACTTTAGAGGAGGGTAGATGGTTGGACTCGATGATCCCAAGGGTCTCTTCCAGCCTAGATGATTCTGTGATTCTATTCTGTGATTATAATGTCTCAGTAATGGTGGATGGTAACGCACATGGTAGTGATGAGATCAGGGATAGTGATAAGTCAGCAACCACAGAAGGATCTAAGCATGGTCAGGAGGGTATTGGGGCTTGGCCCCCTCCAAAAGTGACAGGACAATTAGCCCAGCTTAAGTGCTTCTACACAAATGCACTCAGCATGGGCAGCAAACAGGAGGAGCTGGAGGCCATTGTACAGCAGGAAACTATGATATTGTTGCCATCACAGAAATGTGGTGGGAAGACCTACACAACTGGAGGGCTGTTATCGGTGGCTACCAACTCTTCAGAAGGGTAGACAAGGAAGGAGAAGTGGTGGGGTGGTCCTCCATGTCAGAAACACATTTGAATGCATAGAACTTAATGGAAGTGACAAGGTAGAGTGTTCATCGGTTAGAATCAAGGGGAAGGCCAACAAGGCAGATATCATGGTGGGAGTTTATTACAGCCCCCCAAACCAGGATGTAGTAGCTGGTGAAATACTCTTATCAGCAACTGGCAGAGCTCTCACAATCACTCAGCATTGTTCTTGTGGGGGGCTTCAACTTCCCAGAGGAAGTGACAAGGTAGAGTGTTCATCGGTTAGAATCAAGGGGAAGGCCAACAAGGCAGATATCATGGTGGGAGTTTATTACAGCCCCCCAAACCAGGATGTAGTAGCTGGTGAAATACTCTTATCAGCAACTGGCAGAGCTCTCACAATCACTCAGCATTGTTCTTGTGGGGGGCTTCAACTTCCCAGATATCTGCTGGAAATACAACACAGCAGAGAGGGAACAGTCCTGGAAGTTCCCAGAGTGTGTGGAAGACAGCTTCCTAACACAGCTGGTGAGCAAACCAACCAGAGAAAGTGCCCTACTGGACCTGCTGCTTGTTAACAGAGAAGGTCTCGTGGGGGATGTAAAGGTTGAAGGTCATCTGGGGCAGAGTGATCACGAAATCATAGAGTTTTCAATTCTTGCAGAAGCGAGTCAGAGAGCCAGCAGAATGGCCACCTTGGACTTCCGTAAGGCAGACTTCGGCCTGTTTAGGAGAATGGTTGAGAGTGTCCCTTGGGAGACAGTCCTGAAGGGCAAAAGTGCCCAGGAAGGCTGGTCATACTTCAAGGAGGAACTCTCAAAACACAGGATAAAGCCATCCCCAGGTCCCATAAAATGAACTGACAGAGAAGGCGGCCAGCCTGGCTAAATAGAGAGCTTTGGCTGGAGCTCAGGGAGAAGAGGAAGGTCTACAGTCTCTGGAGAAGGGGGTCGCCTACTTATGAACAGTATCAAGGTGTTGCAAAGGTGTGCTGTAGAAAAGTTAGAAGGGCAAAAGTCCAAGGAGAACTTAACTTGGCAACAACAGTTAAAGATAATAGGTAGAGCTTTTTTCAATATATCAATAAAAAAAGGCAGACTAGGGAAAATGTGGGCCCGCTGATGAATGAGGTGGGTGCCTTGGTGGTGGAAGACACAGAGAAGACGGAGCTGCAGAATGCCTTCTTTGCTTCGGTCTTCACTGCCAAAGCTGCCCCTCATGAATCCCAGACCCTGGAGACAAGAGAGAGGGTCTGGAGAGAGGAAGACTCCCCCTCTGTTGGGGAGGAGTGGGTTAGAGACCACCTGGCCAAACTAGACATCCACAAGTCCATGGGCCCTGATGGGATGCACCCACGAGTGCTGAGAGAACTGGTGGATGTTATGTCTGAGCCACTCTCCATCATTCTTGAGAGATCTTGGAGAACAGGAGAAGTCCCTGAGGACTGGAGGAAGGCAAATATCACACCAGTCTACAAAAGGGGCAAGAAGGAGGACCCAGGGAACTACAGGCCAATTAGTCTCACCTCTGTCCCGGGGAAAATAATGGAGCGGCTCATTCTGGACGTCATCTCCAAACTCATTGAAGATCAAGAAGGTATTGGTATTAGTCAACACGGATTTACCAAGAGTAAATCATGCTTGACCAATCTGATAGCCTTCTAGGATGTTGTAACTTGGTTGGCTAGATGAAGGGAGAGCAGCAGATGACATCTACCTTGACTTCAGCAAGGCTTTTGGCACTGTCTCCCATAACATCCTCATTAGAAAATTAAGGAAGTGTGGGCTAGATGAGGGGCAGTGAGGTGGACTGAGTCCTGGTTGTGTGACAGAACTCAGAGGGTTGTCATTAATAGAGCAAGGTCAAGTTGGAGGCCTGTGACCAGTGGTGTCCCCCAGGGGTCAATACTCGGCCCAGTCCTGTTCAACATATTCATCAATGACCTGGACGAGGGGACAGAGTGTATCCTCAGCAATGATTCCTTCGTTGATGATACCAAACTGGGAGGGCTGGCCAACACCCCAGAGTGCTGTGCCACCATCCAGCGTGACCTGAACAGGCTGGAGAGCTGGACAGAGAAGAACCTCATGAGTTCAACAAGGACAAATGTAGGGTCCTGCACCTGGGGAGGAAGAACCCCAGGCACCAATATAGGTTAGGGATCGATCTTCTGGGAAGCACTACTGAGGAGAAGGATCTGGGAGTCCTGGTGGATGGCAAACCATGAGCCAGCAGTGTGCCCTTGTTGCCAAGAGGCCAATGGAATCCTGGGCTGCACAGGGAGGAGTGTGGCCAGTAGGTCAAAGGAGGTCATTCTCCCGTCTACTCTGCACTGGTGAGGCCACAACTGGAGTACTGTGTCCAGTTCTGGGCTCCCCAGTTCAAGAGGGACAGGGAACTACTGGAGAGAGTCCAACACAGGGCAATTAAGATGATGGAGGGATTGGAGCACCTCCCTTACGAGGAAAGGCTCAAGGAGCTGGGGCTCTTTAGCCTGGAGAAGAGAAGGCTGAGGGGAGACCTTATTTATAAGTATCTAAAGGGAGAGTTGAAGGATGTTGGAGCCAGACTCTTTTCAGTGGTTCCCAGTGACAGGACGAGGGGCAACGGGCTCAAGCAGGAACATAAAAGTTCCATTCAAATCTGAGGAAGAACTTTGGGGTGAGGGTGACAGAGCCCTGGCAGAGGCTGCCCAGGGAGGTCGTGGAGTCCTCTGGAGATCTTCAAGACCCACCTGGATGCTCCTGAGTGATGTGCTCTGGGCAACCCTGCCTTGGCAGGGGGGTTGGACTGGATGATCTCTAGAGGTCCCTTCCAACTCCGACAATTCCATGATTCCATGAATGGAATTCTCAAGGAGAAATCCTAGCTCTACAGATGGAAACACGGTCCTCAGACTGTGGACGAGATTAGTGAGTACATGCTGAAATAAGCAGGCTTATTTGTGGAAGTTTTCTGTTTTCATTTACTTTCTTTGGCTTCTGGCACAAAGTCAGATGTTGAACCCAATTTCTACATCAGGCAATGTGCTAGCAAGGCTTGCATAAATTACAGATGTGTAGCCAGTAACTGAGGTAATAAGACCCAGTATAAATGAGGAGGAGATAGACTGAAGAGGGTGATTCAACAAAAAATAAAGAAGTAAAGCAATCCTTCAGATCTAATCTGAATACCTTTCAGAGCTTTCGTTTGTAACATTGACTGGAAGTTGTAGAGGAAATGTTCTGTTGGAGAATAGCTTTGTGAAACACACTTTTTAACTGGAATTTTCTTTATCAGACATTGTACAACCTGATAGTATAAGACACCTTTTTTTGGTCATTGAATAAACCTTGCAAACAGCTGAAGAGCGTTGCCTGTCAAAATCTTAACATAAAATGCAGATGTGTGGGTTTTGTATAATTCAAGGAGTCTTGCTTTTACAAATTATCACAGTAGGTTGATGCTACAATGTCAGACTAGAATCTAATAAATGATTTGACCAAGATTGTAATACAATCAGCATTGAAAGAATGTTCAAACAAAATGAGGAACCTCAAGCATATTTTATGGTAACTGTTTAACGCTGCAAACACTTTGACTAGTGTTTACTCCAAATGCCAGTCTTAAAAAGCATATTGAAACTGGCAGCTCTGTAAAACTAGCACTTTTGTAACTTTTCACTGGACACTCAGTTGAATTCGAAGCATAACTTTAGAGAGAAGCATAACTTGAGAGAGCTTTGATTTGGGCATTTCTTGTTAATTCACGTTCACAGTTCTTTTTCCAAAGGCATAAACTGACTGGGGAAATTCACAGAACCTGCAGCATTTCACGACAAGCTCTTGCAGAGTTTTAACAGCTCGTGAATCGTAGGATTTTTGAATACTGATGTACATGAACTGCCAAGAGTTTGTACTTCTATAGCTTCATTTCTGGGTAATTATCACATGTGAGAGCAGATCTGACCTGGCCAGGACATAAAGGAAAAAGTGTGCTTAATTTTTGGAAAGCCAATAGTATGTGCATACTGCTCAGACCTTGAGCCCTTGCTAATCCTGTAGCTGGCTGATATTAACAGTATTTGTAGCTGTAAGTAATTGGGCTGTAATGTAGAAGTGCACAGTTGGTTCTAATCTACTTCTGAGATTTTATTTCTGGATTTAATCGTTTGCAGCTGAAGTTAGTATCAATAGCAAGGCTGTAACTGGCATGGAGAGCTCATCAGTTGGAAATGACAGATGAAACACCCAGGGTGCTGGGTGGGTACAGCCATGGAAAGGCACAAGATTTTAGTAAAAGGTTGGGATATGAGCTCTTGTGGAAATCTCTACATTACTTGTTCACAACGAAAAAGCAGGGGATAAACCTCAAAAAGGGGCTACTAAAATGGCTGGGTCTGCATGATTTTAATCTAAAAGGAAACTTAACGTGTTCTTTTTTCCTTTTCCCTTAGGAAGAGTGGACAGACGATGATCTTATGGACTCAGTGTAGCCCTGGAGGCAGTCGGCATCCTGCCACCACAGGCACTCTCTGCCCCAGGGTCCTTACATTATATCAAGAGGTATTTATTCTGTTGGTTTTTAATATCTTCGCAATAAAACTTGTTTTTAAAAGTTCATTGCGCTTTCCATTGAAAGTCAAAGATTAATAAGAAATATTTTCCCTAAGAAATGTCACCCAGGGAAGCAGCTAAAAGGCTACAGCCCTGCCCATAGCACTTGGTACATTTGGGAAGCCCCTCTCAAGTGTGTGAAGGGGCTGCAGCAACGTGTTTTACAATATGGAAAGCAACAATCACACCTTTGCAACTTGCTCTGCAGCCGTGACTAACTTACCTGGGGAGAGCTGAGAAGAAGGTTTTAAAAGTCTTCCTAAATAGTTAGATGTATTCCAAATCTAGAGCAAAATCTATTTCTTGTTCATGTACTGTTTTGGGACATCATAAGCAGTTTTATAATACACACACATAAATGCAACTTCAGGAGTTTCCTAGTTTCATGCTCATCCCTGCATTTTGTGTGTAATAGATAAATAGTCAAATCTCTTTTCTAAAGTTAATTTTTACCATGTTATACTAAATCTACAAAATACACCACTTTATCCACTCTGTTTTTGACAAATCCTACAGCAGGGTCAGCAGCTGACTAGTCAGGGAAGAAAAGCAGCCATGGCAATTTCACATCAGAAGGCCTGACACCATACATAATTAGTGCATTCATAATTAAGTGCAGGAAGTGTGATTTAACAGGGTTTAAGTTGTGTACTTAGATTCTGAAGGGGTTGGGAGCTGTAGGCAGAGCCTTCAGCAGTAGTTACAAACTGGGGTTGTTTTTTGTGTGACCTAACAGGAGAGAGAGAGAGAGAACTACGAGCAGAAATAGACTGTTTATGACCTTTTCCTCTGAGATATGGTTTTACGGGATGATCTAAAAAAAGGAACTCGGTAACACCAAGCCCTTGCAAACAGGTTTGACTTCACTAGGCTGCATTAACAGCATCACCTCTGTCTCCAAGCCTAGCACCCACAACACCTGGGAGCTCTGGCTGCAGACCTAAAGGCACAGGCTAGTATTGCAGTAGGAACCCAGAGATAAACCCAGCCTGCACAAGTTAGTGCCACTGGGAACAGGAAAAGCTGGAGAGCAACCCTGAGAGGGACTTGGGGATGTTGGTGGATGAGAAGCTCGACATGAAAGCTCAGAAAGCCAGCCACATCCTGGGCTACATCAAAAGCAGCATGGCCAGGATGAGGGAGGTGATTCTACCCCTCTACTCTGCTGAGACCTGACCTGGAGCACTGCCTCCAGCTCTGGAGTCCTCAAGACAGGAAGGACATGGACCTGTTGGAACAGATCCAGCAGAGGGACATGAAGATGATCAGAGAGATGGAGCACCTCTGCTGTGAAGACAGGCTGAGAGTTGGGGTTGTTCAGCCTGGAGAAGAGAAGGCTCCAGGGAGACATCAGAGCCCCTTCCAGCACCTGATGAACACAACCATGTTCACATGGCACAGTTAATTATGGAATTATCTCATTAACCTTGTCAGTGCATCTCAGCATCCTTTTATTCCTTATTAGACCACAGCCTAGAAAAGTTACAAACAGTGCTGCTGAAATACCCTCTGAATCAACCGCTTATTTTAATTTTTTAAGCAGTTTTAACATCTCCTTTCTCACCCCATAATATATGTATAAATTAAGGTATAAGGACAAGTTTACACTATGCGGAAGATTCATGCCAAAAAGTGACACCACGTGAACATTTTGTAGTACATCACATTTGTAGACACCACAAAAAATTTCCACAGCAGCCAAAGTTAGCCAGTTGCCATAAAGAGTTGATCTGCAGCTTGATTTATTTTATAAACTTATTTTTTCACTTATAAAAATAGTATTTATGCTAGACTTACAGTACACAAAAGACCAACCAATACCTATTTTATAAAATGGTTTAATGAATGCATGCATGTCTGATACAATGATCAATAAATTTACTGAATTCAAATTATTTACTGTTGTAAACATTTTACAAAAGCATTGTGATTTATCTGGATACACAGTTCTCGATGGAAGAACTATTCAAACTGAATCAGTGGCACATCAAAAAAATAAAGCTGACAAGACCCATTCTGCATATTCTCTTTCAACATGACTCCAGCAAGAGAAACAGCATGGTATAAAAAGTGTACAGTAAAGATTGTTCCTACCATAACATCAAAACTCTGGAAACTGTAAATACAAGTTAAAGTGGTTGAAACAGTCAGAAGTCGTAATTATTGTAACCAGTCAGAAATTACAGTAAGAAATGTTATCCAGTTATATGTGGCTGTCAGAACAACACGTTTCTTTTCATGTCAGTTGATAATTCTTTTCCAACGGGACAGCGGAACTTTGGCAACTAGAGGTGCTGAAAAGTAATTTTCCAAGTCCAAGACAGAGTCACAGCATTTTCTTTGCGGAAGGTGAACTGTACACCAAGGCTCAGAGGTCATGAAAACTGTTTCCAAGTGGAAAAAAAAAAAAAAAAGGGCAAATGTCCTGCACAGATAGCTTAAAAAAAAAAAAAAAAAAAAAAGCTGCTGGTACAATCATTCACCAACAGGATCTTTGTTTTCTTTTTGCATAGTTCACACATCACTGGGAATGTGACAGGGTGTGCTATTTTTGGCAAGAGCAAGAAGAAAAGTGATACTGGTGTGAGTCGCCGTTAACGTTGGGCATGCTGGATCCATGCAGAGTTCAGGTAGAGGGCTGCTACCTGGTGTTGTTGGACACTGAATACTGATTCTGTTTCTGTTGGAGCAGTTCTGTAATGGCCAACAGCTTCTTAAGAACGTGCTGTAGAAAGAGAGTTGGTAAAACCATGATGTTAAACAGAACAGTCCTGCTTCAGAAGCTCTTCCAGCATCAGCCTATCAGAACTACTACTAGCTAGCTTAAAATATATTAAAGCAAAACCAAAAAAAAAAGAAGAAAGAGGAAACAGCCGATTCCCTCATCAGTAAGACATTACCTTCAAAAGAGAAGTCTCAAACAGCGTTATGAACTCTGCCTCTCCACCCATGGACCTTTCTGCTGCTTTGTGGTTTAACAGGGAGGCTACAGAGTGTGCTGCTACAGACCATTGGGGGCTGCTAGGAAAGCGTGCCCCGTTGGTCTACAGATGGACTGGCAGATCAGGAAGCAGAAATGAGGTATCAGTGGAAAGCTAACAGAAGTAAATTTAGTTCTCAACCGAAAAAAAAAACCTCAAGATCCTATAACTTAACGACCTAGAGACGCTGTCAGGAGACAGCAGTTTTGTGGGTTTAGGCTTCCTCTAGAAACTTTGCAAAACCGCTTTGGTTTTGTTGCATGAGGAAACAAAACTAGGGTCTAAGGACTTACCTTTACAGCTCATAACCTGCTGGTGAAATGCACCAGAAATGCCAGAAAGGCCACAAAAGCACCCTGGTGCAGAGGAGGACCTCACCTGCATTACACCTCGCTCGTTGCTGAGCGTCCGTAGCTCGTCCGAGTGCGCCACGCAGATCTCGTGCAGCGCCGCCAGGTCGCGGGACAGGTCGGTCCTCGAGTGCTCTGTAGTGTCAGGAAGCTCAGGAACGTTCTGCAGGGAGAAGCAGGAGAGTGGATTTAGGGCACCGAGAACCCGGGTACACAGCAAGGTACATTACAGCTCGGCCAACACCACAAGCAAGTGCTACAAACTTGAAATCCTTCCAGCTAAGCCTCCAGTCCATCATCCTATTACAAGAGAAGGGTGACAAAGAAGGTGAGGGGTCTGGAGAATAAGTCTTATGAGGAGAGGCTGAGGGAGCTGGGGTTATTCACCCTGGAGAAGAGGAGGCTGAGGGGAGACCTTATTGCTCTCTACAACTCCCTGAAAGGAGGGTGTAGAGAGGTGGGGGTCGGTCTCTTTTCTCAAGTCACAGGCGACAGGACAAGAGGAAATGGCCTCAAGTTGCGCCAGGGGAGGTTCAGGCTGGATATTAGGAAAAATTTTTTCACCAAAAGAGTTATCAGCCATTGGAATGGGCTGCCCAGGGAGGTGGTTGAGGCCCCATCCCTGGAGGTGTTCAAAAGCCGGGTTGATGTAGTGCTGGGAGGTATGGTTTAGTGATGATGCTCCTTGTTTGTTGTGTGGGTGTCTATTTTTGTCAGTTAGGTTGACGGTTGGACAAGATGATCTTTAAGGTCCCTTCCAACCCAGAAGATTCTGTGAAATTATGTGGTTTTTCCTTGCCACAAGCATGTGTTTTATGAGTAAACTGCAGTTTCTGCTCCTGCTGGAAGGGTTGTTCCCAAACGATCTGGTATTGATACACTACCACCGAGCTGACCAGAAAGCTGCTGCGTACAGAGGCTCATGACCTTCCCCTAAACAAGGGGAGATCCATCTTCAGGTGAATTTTTTCCCTTCTGAAGGAGAGAACAGCAGCAATGAAAATTCAGCAAAATCTGTCACTATCAACTCACTGAATTGGTCGTAAAACAATGCTGCAATTAGAACGGTATATTAATCCAACAGTTACTCTCAAACCAACAGTTCTCACAGACCTCATGCAAAATCTGTCACTTAAAGAAAACTGACATATCATAATATGCAGAAGTTGCAATTTAACCAAAAAAAGATGACATAGCAACCTGCCCCAATAGCACACTCATTCTTATACCCTGTGGAAATATTCTGATGTGTCTTCTAAGTCACTTTTAAGGGATCAATTCAAGAAGCTTGACATATTTTTTTCATCTTGGTTTTAAAATTAATTCTTGTTTTAAAAATACACATGTATAACAGGAGGACATAACTCCTGCTATATAAATCACACACAAAACCCTAAAAGTTTAAAAGAATAGAGTAACTGCAGGTCACTTTCAAACTACAAAACCTAGAGTGCATGCAGTGACGCATTTGGTAACAAATAACTGAAATTCAGCCTAGTACTTTTTAAAGCATAAAATAATTTCAATCTTTGGTCAAAACCATCCAACAAGTTATACATAAGAATTCTTATTTTTAAACATGATTTTAAAGATTTGTATTTTTGGCCAAAATTCCTAATCCTTAGCTGTAAAATATATTTGAGCAAGTCTAAGATGACACTTGATGGTTTTAATTGGGTGTGACAGGACAGCAATCTGCAGTTTCTAAACACACGTAAAAAAATTTATTCAGCTGCAAGAACTGAAAATTGTGTGGGAGCTGATGCATTTTTATAAGTGCAAATAAGTATTAATAAGTGTAAAGAATTTTCCTTTACAATATTACTGTGTAACTTCCAGTAAAAGTTTTTTTAACCACTTACCCCAAGTTCATCCAAAAACATGATCATGCGATGTTTGTTGCTCTTGATGAATGGATTTACCCCTTCCATATATGGCTCCTAGCAATTTTAAAAAGCATTCATTAGAACAAATCAATGCCAAGGTAATTGTCACACCTGCAGCACACACAGCGCAGTCAGGCAAGTGACACTGCCAAACAAGGATGTCATCTGGACTGGTTTTATTTTTTCAAATGAATTTCTACTCTCCAGTGGGCAGCCAGTCAAAAGACTGCGGAATTTGGCATTTTGCTATATTCAGGAAGTTTTCTTACACGTGCAAACTGGCATGAATTTGCATTAAGATGAATGTCTCTGGCTACGTAGCTGCCATGAACAAATTGCTCCACTGTCAGAGGTATGATCAGGACTAAGTGCCCTCTTTCTTCTTCTTCCATTAACCCTTATATGCCAAGTTATGCGTGTCAGAGAAATAACTTCCTCATGCCTGAAGTCACTCTCATGATGCTTAAGTCAGCAGATTTATTTTTCAACTGTGTTTTGGCCTGGGAACCAAGGCAGACCATTGCTGGCATTCTTTTCATGTCATAATAGAAACTTTATCGAAAGCTGGGGCTTTTTAGTGCAACATGTAGACTTGATTTACAATATTAAATATGTCTAACGATATGACAGTGAGTACAAATAGAAGGGGTGCTTTGAAATGCTCCACCACAGACAATACAAACCTAAGGAGTAAGGAAATGCAGGGTGAAAGTGAGGGAGGGGGAAGAGTCAGAGGTTGGCAGTTCTTCATTTGTTTCAGAATCAGTTAATCTCTACTAAGATGGGAATTCAGGCCTGATTAGTCTCAATCTCAAAATTAATTACTATACAGACAGAACACGTGCATGGGATGTGGAATCATTCCAAGGTTGTGTACAGGAGCATGCCAATATTACTGAGAGAGACCTCCCCTTTGTCATCAAAT